TCCAGGAGGGCCATTGGGAAACATTCAGGAATGTTTGTGCTCCTCCAGAGATTTGTAATTAAGAAGAGGCAGAACTTGTTCCTGCCTGGCACCCTCCTCTCCCTCCCCCTCTCCCTGGCAGCATCTGGGTCACTTGATTTCACAACTGGGGTTTTCGGCAACCCAGGATGTGGAGGCTGGATGGGGGTGAATTGCTTTATCTGAGGATGGGTGCTGGGAGTGGCCTGGCCAGTGGCCTGGCCACGTCTGAAAGCGGATGTCTCTTCCCAGCTCACATTCTTAGCACTTGCCCAAGGTGAAACGCTACAGGCCAGGGAAACACCCACAGGTGCCTGGTTTCAATAGACAGTTTTCTACTGACAGGAAGGGTGAGTGTGTTCTTGTATGTTTAAGTCCTTGTGCAGCCAAAAATGCTTCTCATCCCGATTCTCTGAACGACACGTCTCCACACACTGAATAATTCATCTCCCTCTTGGCATTTGTTCCCAAGAGAATCTTCTGTCCAGATTTCTCATAAGTTGCATAACCTTCTCACAGGAGCTTCCCTCTCTTTCCCGTGGAAGAGCTCTGGGGGTTAGGACCTCGGTCAGACTCTGGCTTTTCCCCGTGATTACATTGAAGGGGAACTCAAGTATGAAGGCCAAGGCGTGCCTTTCTCCTCACGCCTTCTCCTTTTGACCCTGGGTCCTCCTGCCTTACTTTCCTTTATTCCTGCTGGGCACAGTGTCTGCACTCCCTGCATGTGGGGGTCGCACACTACCTGTGGAGAATCTTAGGTCCAGTAGGGTATCACATATCACTGATGCTTGGAGCTAACAAATGCATCAGTGACTTCTCAACAATCAAAGGAGTTAATGTTTTTTTCCCGGAAAAGTGATGCCCCCCACCTTTTTTTGCTATTTCTGTCCCATCCTCTTACTTCCACCCCTATCCTCACACAGTGAGCTCATTGAATAGTTTGTGTTGATGACTGATGACTTTCAAATGGTTAATTACCTGTTCACCAAGCAGCCATGGGTTTTCCAAATCAGTTGAATATCTTTGCACTAAGACATGGATAACTGAAGGCCCCAAATGTGCCAATGCTCCAGTGTCTTTTGCCGCCTCAGCCATCCCCCCTGTCGAGTTTCACCATCTGTGCCCCTAGCGTAACCTGCTCTGTGTTCCAGATTGTTTGGAGACGCACTTGATCTTGTTAATTTTTATAAGCAGAGCTCAGGTTTGGAATCTGGCGATTGAGCGTCAGGTTGTACCTCTGCTGTTTACTAACTGCATGACGTCGACCATGTTTTCTTATTTGTAAAATGGATGAAGAGCACCTGCTACACAGAGAGAGAAACTGACATTTGTAACTTGCTTCCTAGCCCTAGTATTAGCCATTTTTAAATATTGTCATTTTCTTTCTTTTTTTTTTTTTTTTAAGTCAGAATCTCACTCTGTTGCCCAGGCTGGAGTGCAGTGGCACGATCACCGCAACTGCAGCCTCAATTTGCTGGGCTCAGGCAATCCTCCCACCTCAGCTTTCCAAGTAGCTGGAACTACAGGTGTGCACCATCACACCCAGCTAATTTTTTGATTTATTGTAGAGATGAGGTCTTGCCAAGTTGCCCAGGCTGATCGCAAACTCCTGGACTTAGGCAAGTCCCTTACCTCAGCCTCCCAAAGCGCTGGGATTACAGGCATGAGCCATTGCATCTGATCATATTTTAGTTATAATTAGTGCATGAACATTACAGAGAAATTAGCAAATAAATAAGTAAAATACATATTGAGCCACCACACCCACCTCCAGATAATGTACACACACACATGTACACACATTAGGCAAAATTTTATACTACAGCAGTGTCTTGTAGCTTTTATCTTTCAACAGTGTTGTTTCTCTCCCTGTTCATTGAGAGCATCCTTTCTATGATAGCAAAATAAAGAAAACTTCACATTTCTTTGGTTGTTCCTACATATTCATTACATTTGCTCACCCATTCCTCAAATATGTATTGAGTATCAGTTGTGCTGGACATAAGGTTCTGTTACTTGGATGCACCACTGGTTAGTAGTTAATTCTGAATCCCCAGGAAGAATTTCAGAAGGTGATGAGCCCTGTGCAGATTCAGGGGAGCTGCCCAGAGGGGATGGATCTTCCTAGTTTTCTGGGTTATAAACTGTCTACGATCAGATTCCAAACTGCACTGGTGGGCAGGGCTTCTCAGAGCAGAATGCAGGGAGAGGAGCCAGCCAGAGAGAGAGAGGTCTCCTGGTGGCCTCAGCATTCCTGTTTCCTCACAGTTGTGCCAGATGTTAGTAACAGAGTAACTCTCCATGGCGGGCATACCTGTAGGGGGGCTTTTCTTCAAGGCCCTTTCAAGGATTCATTGGATGAGATGATGTTGGATGAGACTTGGCTCTTGGTCACGGGTCTTCATTTTTCACAAGGAAGTGGGAATGGACCTCTTAGAGAAGTTGGGCCAAATCATGGCACTGAGGGAAGCAGCCTTTTGTTTGGGACATCTGGGCTGGGCACTGTGGGGTGGTGGGCAGGATGAAGACAGCTTTGTGGAAGCTTTATCCAGACCATCTGGAACACGTTCTCCTGAACCAAGAGCATTGTGAGCTGAGGGGAGTCTCTGGCATCTCTGTGCCCCCATTTTCTCTCCTTTTACTCCAAAGCAGTGGCTTGTGATTTTTCACAAGGGTATGCTTTGACAATGTCAACTTTCAAGAGAACCTGGTGGCTTGAAGCAGGGGCCCTGTAGACAGATAGTCTTCCTTGAAATCCCAGCTTTGTCATTGACATGAAGAATGTTAGTCTTTCTTTACCTCAGTTTCCCCTTCTGATAAATGGGGGTAAGAGTAGTGTTTTCTGAGTGCTGAGTCTCACCAGCATCTGTGCTAAATGTGCTCACAAACAGGACCTTATTTAACCTACCCAGTAACCTTCAGAGTTAATACTATCCCTATTCTACAGAAAAAATTGCTGAGGCTGAGGGAAGTCAAGTAAGTTGTCCAGCTCACACAGCAAATAAGTGATCCTTCTGAACTCTTATTTGACAGTGTGTAGTCTGTTGCACATCATGTATCTCTGGCCTCATCCTCATGGAACCTACAGTGCAGAAGTAAATTCCTGACAGAGGCTTTTGGATTATCCTCTCATTCAGTCAATAGATATTTTTCACAGCTGGCCAGACCCTGGGTCTGCAGTGGGACTTGCACACAATAGGTCCTGCCCACCAGGTGTTTTTTGTGTGTCTCTTTTGCCCCGCACATTTTTTTTAAAGTTGGATTTAGAGTGGGTTTTATTTTATTTTATTTTTAGTTGAAGTCTTACTCTGTCGCCCAGACTGGAGTGCAATGGCTCGTTCCTGGCCACCACAGCCTTGACCTGCTGGGCTCCAGCGATCCTTCCGCTCAGCCTTCCAAGTAGCTGGAACTACAGGCGCATGCTGTCACACCCGGCTAATTTTTTGATTTATTGTAGAGATGAGGGCTCGCCAACTTGCCCAGGCGGGTCTCGAACCCGCGGGCTCAGGCAATCCACTCACCTTGTCCTCCCAAAGCGCGGGATTACAGGCTGAGACACCGAGCCTGATGGGTTTTATTTTATATATTTACTTATTTTGAGTCAGGGTCTCACTCTGTCACTCAGGCTAGAGTATAGTAGCACAGTCACTGTTCTCTGCAGCCTCAGCCTCCTGGGCTCAGAGGATCCTCCTACCTCAGCCTCCTGAGTAGCTGGAACTACAGGCCCATGCCACCATGCCCAGCTGATTTTTTTTTTTTTTTTTTGTAGAGAGGAGATCTTGCTATGTTGCCCAGGCTGGTCTCGAGTTCCTGGTTTCAAGCGATCCTCCTGTCTCAGCCTCCCAAAGTGCTGGAATTACAGGCGTGAGCCATTGTGCCTGATTTGTGTGGGTTTTGGAGGGAAGGAGAGTATAGAGGATAAGAGAGGGCAGTTTCCTGTGACTTGAAAGGAAGGATCAGAGGATCAGAAACTCCAGACCCCTTCCCAGTCATCTTCATGTTCTGTGGTGCTCCAGTTTGGCAATCTGTAGAAAGAGTGTGAAACAGACTCTTCTGGACTTTCAGAATTGGGAGTAGAGAGGAAACAGACAGGAAAGGGGAATATTAGACTGCATTTTGGCAGAGGCCGCAATGGGTAGCAACCACAGTGGCTGTCTGGAGCAGCCACTTGACTGAGTCCTACATGCTGAGATTCCTGGCCTCCTACACTATGGCTAAAGTCCTCGACAAATGATTTGTATACAGTTTTCCAGACTCAGCAAACCTTTGTTTGTTGAGTTGGGTGATTTGTTTGTTTGATTTAGCCAGTAAGAGTTGGTGATGACCACCACTTCCCTTCCCACAAGATGGGAACATAAGACAGTGGCTATTGCTAAGAGATCAGTTTGGATTGTCGAGGGAAGGGCATCCAGGGGTTCAAGCATTTGGGAATTAGCTCAGGAGGCAAATAAATGCTGCTCCTTGGCCAAGCACACAGGGATGGGGCATCTGCCACTCTCGATGTCGCAGTGAGCCAGCTTTCCAGAGGGCAAGTGGGCATGACAAGCATGGGGTAGAGCCAGGAAAAAGGTTGGAGGTGGGTGGGTGAGTGCGTTGCGGGTGGAGAAGCCAGAGAGGGCTGGAGTCCAAGTCCAGAAGCAAGAATTGGCCTTGGAGCCCTTTTCTGCAAACCCTCCAGTTAGAGATGCAGAAACATAGACCTAGAGAAGGAAGGCGATGGCTCCAGTCACTGCCGAGTAAGTGGCCAAGTTGGAACCAGAACACAGACTCCCTGCCTGCCTCCCAGGGTGATCTTATTCTCCTGCTGCAGCTGCGCATTCACCTTCCTGGGAACAAAGGGGACAGCAGAGCTGGTGCCACGGTGCAAAATTTCTGAATCTGTTGGGGCCGCCCTGAGAAGCAAGAGGCCCAGAGACGCAGCGAGTTGCAGGAGCTTGGGGACTGTAAGCTGACGGAGTCTGTTTCTCCTCTCCCTTGCCAGGTACACCAAACCGCTCACGTTTGCTGACTGCATTAGCGATGAGTTGCCGCTGGGATGGGAAGAGGCGTATGACCCACAGGTTGGCGATTACTTCATAGACCACAACACCAGTAAGTGCCCAGTGTTCCTCCCTTCCCCACGCTCCCTCTCCATCCCTCTACCTCCAAGCCTCCCCCTGCCCCCACCAAGTCTGGAAGAACTACCAGTCGAGACTCTTGGAGCCAGATTGTATTTTGTTTTGCATAGATTTAGATAGAGATGTCAATGTAGATATAGATAGATAATATATGCTCATGTAAAAATAACAATTTAGAAGGGTTTTTAATAGCATCTGAAACTCCTCTCGCAATCTATCTCCCCAGCTTTACAGAGGCAACCATTGCTAACGATTTCTTGTGTATCATTCCAGAATTTTCCCAGTCGTGTGCTTGTGTGTTTGTGTATTTATTACATACACAGATTTAGGTGCATCCACTTTTTTTTTCCATAAGTGAAAGGTGTCACTGTCATGGCCAGACCATGTGGGAACAGCCAGAGCCCTAGTAAGTCCCAGCTGCACACATGCATGTATGTTCATAGTCTATTGGCATGAGTAAATATGTGTCTCCGGTCCATCCCAGACTCACTGTATTTATTTTATTATTTTATTCTTTGGAATTTTAAAAAAATTTATTTGTAGAGACAAGTTCTCGCCAAGTTACCCAGGCTGGTCTCGAACCCCTGGGCTCAGACAATCCTCTCACCTCTGCCTCCCAAAGTGCTGGGATTACAGCCACCATGCCTGGCCTCATATTTTATTTTTTTGAGTCAAGATCTCACTCTGTCGCCCAGGCTGGAGTGCAGTGGCACAATCACAGCTCATGGGCTCAGGCGATCCTCCCCTCAGCCACCCAAATAGCCAGGACTACAGGCACACACCACTATGGCCAGCTAACTTTTTTTATAGAGACGAGGCCTCACTATGTTGCCCAGGCTGGACTCAATCTCCTGGGCTCAAGTGATCCTCACAAAGTGCTGGGATAGCAGGCATGAGCCACTGCGCCCAACCTTTTTTATTTTCAGCTCACTTTATATTTGTGATCCTAACATCCTGATCCAGTACACAGAGTCCTGGTATCTCTGTCTTTGGGATCATGATGGAGGAATCAGTTGAGAAAGGGAGAAGCACACTGTCTGGCAGGTAGGGAGACCTGGGGAGTGTTTCCTCAGCCAGAGAGAGTTGATGTGTATTTGAGCCTCACCTACTGTGCACCCTCTTGGCCAAGACTGTTCTTGTCATCTGAAACTTTCTGCCCTGTTTGTCCATGTGTACAGGGGAAAGGGATTTTTCTGTCTCACTCTCAGCCTTCTGAACCATAGGATTCCCTTTATCCTTTCGGGGAGAGAATTAAGTGAAATGAGATGTGCCTGGCAAAGTCTGAAGGCTGAGAAGAGGGCACCAAATCCTGGTAGCCTTGTTGACGGAGCTTGCGCTCTATGCCATGGGCTGTGTTTGGCATATGAGAGGCACTTAACCCTCCCAACTACCCAGTGGGATTTAGAGGTAGTAATTGACTGTTCAAGACTCACAACTAGGTTGGATGTGGTGGCTCATGCCTGTAATTCTAGCACTTTGAAAGACTCCTTGACCCCAGGAGTTTGAGACCAGCCTGGGCAACATAAGACCATGTTTTTACAAAAAATTGAACAATCAGACAGTCATGGTGGCATGCACCTGCAGTCCCAGCTACACAAGAGGCTGAGGCAGAAGAATTGCCTGAGCCCAAGAGGTCAAGGCTGCAGTGAGCCATGATTTTGCCACTACAATCCGACCTGGGAGATAGAATGAGGCTCCAACTCAAAAAAAAAAAAAACCAAAGAAAGAAAGACTCACAGCTAGCTGGCAGAGCTGGGATTTGAACCGGTGCTGGGAGTGGAGTTGGTCTTCTCCATCCACTTCCTCCTCTGGGTTTCAATAGCACCCTGGTTACACCTAGGTTGTGGCCCTCCTTACTCTGTGTTATAATCATCTACCTGTTGTTACAAGTTATCCTAGAGCAGACACTGTGTCTAATCCATCATGCTAGTCCCAGACGTTAGTCTAGTAAGGCACATAGTAGGTGTGCACTTAACCCCTGCTAGGTAGAAAAGGGCATATGTGAATGAATGCATGAGTAAATGGATGAATGAGTGGGCGGTTGTTGGCACCACAGTGTGGAAGAGTTTCTATGAGACAGCTGACGGCATTAATTGCATTGTTGGGGGTAGCAAAGGTTTTCATTCGTACTCATGATTGCGTTCTGGATAATGAGAAGTAAATATGCCTAACTGAGTGTGTGTGGAGAGTGAGGTTCATGCTTGGAGGGCTGCATGGGAGGCTGGGTTAGACACTGACGTACAGCAACCCTAATCAGTCCTTTCCTGATTCTGATTGCTGAGTGCATCCCCCTCATTAAATTCTCATGGCGGGAGTGGGATTTCAAGGTACTTTTGGGAGTTGTTGGAGAAACAGACGGAAGGAAGGCGTAGCGGGCCATAGCAGATTTGTTTTCTTGAGAGGATGGTGGTACAAATTGGGTGTATGGGGAAGTGATTAATGGGAACCACAGCAAGAAAAGTGCTGTCTGACACTTTTATTTTTTACTTTTAGTATCAGGGTCTCACTCTGCTCTCCAGGCTGGAATGCAGTGGTACGATCACTGCTCATCACAGCCTCAGTCTCCTGGGCTCAGGTAATCCTTCTGCCTCAGCCTTCCAATTAGCTGGGATTACAGATGTGTGCCACCACACCTGTCTAATTTTTAAAATTTTTTTTAGAAACGAGGTCTTGCTATGTTGCCCAGGCTGATCTTGAATTCCTGAACTCAAGCCATCCTCCTGCCTCGGCTTCCCAAAGTGCTGGGATTATAGATATGAGCCACCATGCCTGGTCTCTACCTGGTAGTGTTACTGTCTGTTACTTTTACTAACTGTCAGGCTGCTTGTTTCCTCTTGATGATCGTCTCATTGGGTGGAGGTAACAACTACTGTAGATGGAGCCATTGATACCGATATAGTACAAATATGACCACTGTGAGTCCCAAGCATTCAGAGCCATGAACTGAGAGCAGTCTTCTGTGTGGAGCGGGGGGGGTTAGGGAGGGGTTCATGGACTGAAATTCCTCTCTTAAGAGTTATAGACACAATACAATCAAATGACAATTTGCTCATAAATTCACCATCCAACATTTATCCATTCAGCAAATATTTACTGACCACCTGTTCTGGGAGCCTGAGAGCACAAAATGACAAAAATCCTTGGCCTTATAGAGATTTTGTTTTTGGCAGGAGAGACAGAAAACAAACAAAATAAGTAGATTATGCAGTATGTTAGAAAATGTTCAATACTATGGGGGAAAGGCAGAGTGCAGAGCTCAGGTGTGTTGGGGTGTGCTTGGGGGGGTCTTGGTGGATGACACTACTAAATGGGGTCTACAGGAAGGAATATCTTGTTGAGAAAATGAGATCTGGGCTAAGACCTGAAGGGGGTGAGGGAGCATTTAAAGCAGAGAGGACGTATAGAACAAAAGGTCTAAGGTCCGATCGATTTAGCTTGTTCAAGGACAGCAAGGAGGCGAGTGTGCAGATGGTGCATGAGGGAGCAGAGATGGACATGGTATCAGAGCGCAGCAGAGTTTATGTTGGCTGTGATCTGCATTAAGGGCATAGCGCTTACCCTGTGTAAGATGGGAACGAGCCATTGGAGAGTTTGGTTTGCTTTTTTTTGAGTTGGAGTCTCACTGTTTCTGTTGCCCAGGCTGGAGTACAGTGGCACATTCATGGCCACCACCGCAACTTTGACCTGCTGGGCTCAGGCAATCATTCTGCCTCAGCCTTCCAAGTAACTGGAACTATAGGTGTGTGCTACCATGCCCGGCTTATTTTTTGATTTATTATAGAGACAAGGTCTCACCAAGCTGCCCAGACTGGTCTTGAACCCCTGAGCTTAGGCAGTCCTCTCACCTCAGCCTCCCAAAGTGTGGAATTACAGGCTTGAACTACCATGCCCGGCCCAGTGGAGAATTTTAAGCAGACGAGCAACATGGTCTGACTTGTGTCTTTTTTTTTTTTTTTTTTTTTG